TGGCAGCATGAGATCTCCACAACGTGAACACAGGCCAGTGTGTGGCAAAATGTACAAACATGTGGAAAGAAGAAGCCACTGGTAAGAAGACTTGACACTTCTGGGGCCTGGATAGGGTCTTCAAATGTGCCTCTCTAACTGCAGGCATGTGGAAGAAAGGATTACAGAGGTGTAGTAAAGGCAGAAAGATCTGTCCAGAGTACCTCAAGCTCATCCAAGCCATGCCTCACCTCTTGACTGTTGCAGATTGGTTACACTGAGGGAGTCATAGATTAACTACTCCTGCAATGGAAAACAGCCTAATTCTAGCATTATTTTTAAAGAAAAAAATTATTTTTTTCTGCTTAGCCTGTCCTATCATGGTGTGCACAGTATTTAAGTATCTTCTCTGTTCTTGTATACTGGTAGGAGGACATTCATGTAGGGTGTGTGTGTGTGTGTGTGTGTGTGTCTGTGTGTGTGTGTGTCTATGTGTCTGTGTGTCTGTGTGTGTCTGTGTCTGTGTGTGTATGTGCATTTAGTAGCCAGGGAGGAGCCAACATTAGGCAGCTCCCTCAGTAGTTCTCTACTTTGTTTTCTTTTGAGATAAGGTCTCTCACTGAACCTGCAGTTTACTAATAGGCTAAACTGACTGTGAACTAACCCCTGGGGTCGTCCTGTCCCCTGCTAACCAGCACTGGGATTATAGGTGCACTGTCATGCCCAGTTGTTACATGAGTGTTGGGGATCTGAACTTGGGCCCGAATTCTCACACACCACTGCTTTGGGGCCTGAGCCCCCTCCTCAGCCCGTGTTCTATTCTTGAAACTGGGACTGTATTTGTTAGTCTGTTAAATCCATAAGGAAACTATGACAGGTGACAGTGACCACCCAAGTGACACCTTAGCTCTACTACAGACAAATGAACAAGTTGGAACAGTCTCTACTCCAAGCTGTATTTTGAATGATTAGCTGATTTATTTAACCTGGTCCAGTTCAGCTGCTCACAGAGTTCTTTGCTTCCCAGAAAAAATCAATCTTTCCCTCCGCTGTGTCTAAGCTGCATCTAAAGCACTAGCCACATTCTGAGCTGTCACATTAGCTGGTCAGGAGATAAGAAAAGCATCCAGTCACCCAGCCACATTTCTGCTTCTTTGTACAAGCTGCAGATGAAACAGAGTCACTCAATAAAGTCCTGTTTCTCTTTCCCTCCCTCCTGTTCTCTCTCCCTGTTTGCCTGGGCAGGGGAACTCTAGACCTTTTGGAAGTCTGCCAGTCACACCAAAAAAAAATCTCTTGACCATTTTCCCAGGGAATTCCTGCCTTAAATGTCAGCAGGGCACAACTCCTGAGGCAAAGGTGGCTTGCGGGACTAAGTGAGGCAAATGCACTTGTTCTACCAACTGGGAAAACCCACTCCACCCATGATGTGTGGGGAAAAGGGAAGGTTAATTTTTAAAAGCTTCTACGTTCACTGGGAGGCAGCTTTTGGTCTCCTCCACTTCAGCAAGCTGAGCTGAACAATCAAGCACTTACTGTCCTTTAATCACTGTTTTTATCTGTCTCTGTTAGGGGGAGGAGCCGGAAATTACCCTGAATTATGACCATAAGACAACACCTCTGATGGGAGCTCAAAGGTTCAACTAACCCCTTTGCTGTGGCTGTTGTAATGGCTGAAAAAGCTGCTGTTGTTAATTTGTTTATATGTTGGTTTCTAATGCACATACTGATACATAAGTCCTCTGGGAACCTTTGACCAAGATTTGTGAGAAAGAAAACAAGATTCATTAGCTAAGACTGAACCTTCTCTACCAGGCTGGAGACACTTCCCAAGTTCGTTAACTGTGTGTGTGTGTGCGTGCGCGCGCGCGCGCGCGCGCACGCACACACACACACCCTTTTGTTTTGGTCTTTAATCTCTGAACACATGAAAAAATATTAAATTTCTGTGAGTGAGCGTAGAGGAAGAGTCCAGAAGCCTCTGCACCAAAATAAAACAGTATGATGGTTAATTAAGAGCTCAGAGGCGAGGTGTGTCCATCAGCCAGGCTTTGTGAAGTTCCTTGTGTATTTCTAAATTTTCCTTGTGTGTTATTAACCTAATATCATAAGGTTCATCAACTAAAACGGCAGGAGGTGGTCTAGCATAGACCAGTTTTAACATGTTGTACCAATGTAGATATACATTTAATATTTTTTCATGTGTTCAGAGATTAAAGACCAAGACGAAAGCACACACACACACACACACACACATGAACACACGCACACATGCACGCACATACACACTGTTCCCAAAGAGATCATAGTCTGTATAAAACAAATGTTAAGATTTAATTAATAAGTTGTTACTTAACTCTATGTGTGACTGTGTGTGTGTATGTGTGTATGTTTGTGTCTGTGTATATCTGTGTGTGTATGTCTCTATGTGTGTATGTGTGTATGTGTGTGTGACTGTGTGTGTCTGTGTGTCTGTGTGTGTCTCTGTGTATGTCTGTGTGTATCTCTGTGTGTCTTTGTGTATGTGTATATGTATTTGTGTGTGTGTGTGTGCATGTGTGTGCACACATGTATGCGTGTCTGTTGAAGATAGATGTTCACATCAGTTGTCTTCCTGTTGCATTTCATCTTACTTTGGAGACAGGTCTCCCAGTGAACCTGGAGTGCACAAGTACACTGGCTGGCCAGAAAGCTCTAGAGATTCTTCTGCCTCTGCCTTCCCAGTCCCGGGACTGTAAGCACAAGCATGTGCCACTGTGCCTGGCTTGGATGTGAGAGGTGAAGATCAAGCTCTGTTCCTCATACTTATATGGCATTGCCAACTAAGCCACCCCCTGTTATTCTACCTTTAAACGATTTAGGCTCTTAATACTCAAAGTGAGAAAATAAATTCATTCCAACTGCCCTTACATCTAAATCCAGATTCAAACCATTTAGAAGCTGTTGTTTCTTCCTCTACAGCCCCACCACCATTACCTGGAGCTTTCTTCCCTCACTTCTCTTAATCCATGTCCACAGGCAAGCCCAGAGGAAATGTCTGTCTATATCCAGGCAAGTAGCTTGCTTGTTGGACAATCAGAAAAGTCAACTCAGTTACAAACGGGATAATCATACCCAATAAAAACTACCTCTGGTGGACAAAGAGTTAACCCCTGTTCCATCTTAGGTCACTAAGCAGAGTACCAATGAGTATAAGAGATGGTGCCAAATAGGGTGGCCCCTCCCTGGATGGGAACGGTCAACCCTTAGGAACTGGACTGTCAACACATCAGCCAGCCAGAGAAAAGGGAAACCGTGGCAACCAAGTGTCGCTGGCACTTTATGAGGTGGTAATGGGAACTGCAGAGGCCCTGCAGAGCATGCTAATGAGGCCAGGCAAAAAATGCCCTGCGAGCACCCTACAGCCTACAGCCCAAGAAGGATCTGGCTCTGCAGAGACCTTGACCTCAGCACAGGGTGTGTTCATAAAGCCCAAATCCCATCCGGAATCCTTGAGTTCCTATACCTCATAAACGCCCTGGCTTATTTTCTCATTGTCAAGGTGGTTACATTTAGCGTATCTGCTTAAAGAGCCAAGGCTTGTAATCAGGGAGGAAAATACACACCTTTAAAAAAATCTAAACAGTAAACCTCAAGAGTCAATATGAAATGCTTCAAATGTTCCTTGTGGGTTTTTTAAACCCTCCCTCCTCTCTCAGTCAGAATGTTCTGACTTCAGGAAGCATGTTTTTAAAGGTTTCAATCACTGAGCAGCAGGACTCTAGAGGAAGTCCGTGCAGGTGTTGTTACCTGAGGATTACTGAGAAGTCCTGAAGTGTACCTCTGACATGCCTATTTAAAATGGAATTTGTTCTCCTAATGGGAACTGAGAGCTTTGAACACGTTGCATTGTCTCAAGCACTTAACTCAGACAAATGAAAAAGTATAACAGTCTGCCACTTCTAAATGTTTTCTTACCATACTGCATATTGAAAAGTGTGTGTGTGTGTGTGTGTGTGTGTGTGTGTGTATGCAATCTGAAATGAATTAATAGTTAAGAGCCAGAAAGCCTATGGGTAAAAGTATATCACACTTTTAGTTGCTAAGTTTAGCAATGAATTCCTGATACTCACAATATTGATTAAAATTCATTGATTAATTATTAAGACAATCATAAACCAGGAATTAAGATTACTCCTTTGCTATGCACCTACCATCTAGCTAAGGAAAAAATCATATTGATGATCTGGTAGGACCTGCAACTATTTCCGACCTCTTCTGCAGCTCACCAGATAGGGACAGCTTCATAGGCATGCAGTCCATGCACATGGAGGGTCCCACTGGAAGGGGACAGCTTCAAAGGCATGCAGTCATGCATTTGGAAGGGTCTCACACTCTGTTCAACTCATTGTTGTGACAATCTTACAATCCTAAGTAACTTATGATGACTGTGTCCTGCACTCATTCTGAACAGAGAACAGCAAAGTATATAAACAGTCCTGGCCCCAGGTTTCCAAATAGTCCATTGTATCTGCCTCTATCTAGCCTTGGTGTTTTTAAAAATTGCTGCTTCATATTCAATAATAATAATTGAACTCAGAGCACAGATAGTGTAAGTGGAGTTACAGCTATATTTTATGATTAACTTCTAAGCTCATGTATTTCAAATATTGAAATATGCCTAGCTCACAACTATTTTCTGATAGTTGTTCCATTTCAATAAGGAGCCAACCAGGCAAATTCTCCTTGATCCTTAGTGATTGGAATAATCCAAATAAACACTTAGGGGAGTCTTCCCTTTCGAAGATGAACAGCTAAAGAAATACATTTCCAAGTGTCCTGCATTTCTGAAATGCCCTGTGTATATAGTGATCAGGTATGGGGACGATTTCTAGTTCAAATATAACTTAGCGATTGCCACATGGTGCAGAATCTTTCCACCCCTACACTCCAAAAACCCAATCAGACAAGTGCTGGTAATCTGATTCCTGTGTACTGGAGCCTGGGGGCAGGCAATGAGCTGCACTCTGGCCAAGGAAGGCATGAGTGGCAGAGCTGCGGCAAGGCGGTGGGGGTAAGTTCTTCTTTGCCTTCAGGAAACAATGCTTGGCACTTTTAAAAGATGAAACTCTTTCATTACAGTTACCCATATCTTTGCAGGCAGAATCTAGAAGGTAATAACAGAACAGGTGGGTGCTTCTTTTAAGCCTGGAGACTAAGCTTGTGCAGAGGAGAAGCAGAGGAAGGAAAAAAAGACGGGATGCTGTTTAGCTGGGAAATTACTCTGCAATATTTTTCATTAGACAAATTACTCACCCAGTAACTTAACTGTCCAGGAGTAGATGAAACAGTGTATTCACTAGGAAGTAATGTGTCCAGTTCACTGCAGCTGGATTGTATCAACAAATCCTGCTTTGTTCTGGGGGTGAAAGAGCAAAACAAATTATGTTGGTCTATTTCCTTTGAATGTAAACACATCAGGGCACATTGATGGTGATCATGGGGCTATGAGCAATGTTGGGGAGACTCTCACTGAGACAGGGAAGTACATACATGCTAAAAGTTTTGGGGGGGTCCACAGCTAGCTGAGGCTGTTTGGGAGATCAGATTTTTGTGGATTTTTTTTTAAGAAAAGTAGGGAGCTAAAGTCATTTTAAAGGTTCTGTTTATGGTTCACAAGTTTGGGTGCTTTGTTTTTTTCTTTTTAATGTCTCTGATGAAAAAAATGAAGTCCAAAGAGCAACTGAATTTCTTGATTAGGTCTCTGGAGAGGGGACAGGTGTGTGAATGAGCAGGTGACAAAGGGTGCCGGAGGGAGGCTGGCCTTTTCCAGGACTGCCTCCCCTGGGTGCTCTGCTACTGAGCAGGGACTGTTTCCTGCCCACCCAGCTCCCTTCACTTCCTGCTTGGTCCCCTCCTTTTTCCTCTCTATCGGGCCCCAGAAAACAGCACCTCTAATAGCACCTTGCCCCTCTGCCACCTGGCAACAACCCTGGACTGCTGGTGAGTTCCATCACTTCTTTTTCAATGTGAGTTCTCAAAACCTCTCTCTCTCTCTCTCTCTCTCTCTCTCTCTCTCTCTCTCTCTCTCGGAGACTTTTCTAATGCCTCCCCAGGGTGTCCTCTTTGCCCCATCTCAACTACAGTGTGAGTGTGTGTGTGTGTATGTGTGTGTGTTTAATCTGTATTATGTTCCTCTAAGGAATACATCAACACTGTCCAAGCTGAGGTCTCTCATTATAACGTGATTCGCTTAGAGGACCACTTGGGCAGGGCATATTTTGTGTGTCCCTGGCAGCTCCTGAGTGGGTGTGTATGAGTACAGAGTGACGTCCTTTCAGGTCAGAAGGAAAGCCCCTTAGTCAAACTAACAGAGAAGCAGAATTCTTAAAGGTGATGAAAACCTTCACCAGCCTGGGTCATGCAGGATTTCCCTTGTTGCCCACACTGAAGCCAGCCTCCCTAGGCCAGTGAAAGATGTTTAAAAGAATCTCACAGTATATTTTGGAGGTTAAGACAATTCTACTCTCCCTGAGCCTTTGGTTTTCTAGACCAGCCCCCTACATAGTCTTCTATGCTAAACGCTGCCTGTCTGTCTCATTACAAAACGAATGTCTTAGGTAAGAGGGTAATGGGGATGACTAAAGGGGAATTTGACAATTTCTGACACAGTAAGCAATTGCACTGGTGTCTTCAAACCCTGCCTTCTTCTGCTCCAAAGATCTTAAATACTGTAAGAAGGTAGACTGCAAGAGCAAAGTAACTCCTTGCAAAAGGCTGCCTTGGAACCCCTTGTTTCCTGACCACGTTCTAAGCCTCTCCGTCTCCTGTTCCCTTCCCCACTTCCAAAGCTCCTCAAGAGGGGCATAAAATGCTCCAGGGCCAAGCCTATGGGAGAGCAGTCTTCCATGAGAAGATCATCCTCCAGTCTACACACTGGCCACACCCCCTCCATCTTCCTAGCTCTGTACCCTGTGGATAAGAAGACTGCTTGGGGCTGGCTTACACACTCCAGACTTCAGAATGTGGGAGGGGGTATTGGAGAGCAATCCAGTTATTGCTTGAGAGAGAATAGAGCCTGTGGAGGCATTATCCTGCCTCCCACATACTTTGAAAAACATCTCTCACCCCAGTCTCTCCTCTCTGGTGCCTGCCCCCTCTGATACCTACTTCTCTGTGTTTACCTGGCCACTGCCTGAAAGCCTGGCACCAGCCTGGAGTGCCCACGGCCCCACCCCTCCAGAGCCTCTCAGGCTCCCCCCTGGGGATTGAGATTGTCACGTCCCAGTGCTACAAGCCCAGATCTGCCCAAGGGCTCGGCACAGATGCCCCTCTGGCTCCTAAGCTATTCCTGCCTGCAGCTTGCCTCCTCTTGCCCAGGGCAACAGCAGGGAGTGTCCCTGTCCCAGCTGAGTCCCTGCCTGTCCCTAAGGTCCACATCAAGTAGGAGAAGCAATTCTGCCCTCCACCAATTCACATTCCCAAAAGACAATTTAGAAGACATAGTTCCAGCTTCCTAACAAATCTCCAGATCTACATGTCCTTGCCATGTAGAATGGGTACAGGCTTCTACAAAGCGTTTTTCACAATGCCATTTTGAAAATACAAAGTACAAAACTGAAAAATATCTGCCTTTTAAGATACATATTTCATTATTCCTTGGAAATTAATATATGTGAGTTTACATAATGAAATATGATCATATCCGCTCAAATTACACCCATGTCCAACTCTCTCCATATCTCCCCAACCCAATCCCTGGGCTACCCACCCTCTTGGTCAGAGAAGCTTCTTCCTGCAATGGGCAGCAGACAGTGCAGAGATGCATAGCAGGTGCTGGCAATCAGTCAGACACTTTTGATATTGACTTATTTTATCTTAATTTGTGAATATGGTGAGTGTTTTGCCAACATGTGTGACTGTGCACCACCTGGATGCAGTGCCCATAGATGGCAGAATAGCGCTTTGGATCCTCTGGAACCAGAGTCATGGGTGGTAGACAACCACAATATGTGTGCTGGGAACCAAACTCAGATCCTGTGGAAGAACGACCACTACAGTTAACTGCTGAGCCATCTCTCCAGCACCCCCTCCTCTTTAACTAATTTCTGTCCAAAACTACACATGAAAAGTATAGTTTAAAGCTTGCCCAAGGGAACTAACCCCCAGTTGAATATATTTTAGTCTTAATCTCTTAAGGAATTTAGTTGAGATAGTTTCCTTTCTAAGGATGTTTTGGATTGCTGTCCAGTGAAAAGGAAATCACAGGCGATTGGAATAACAACCTCTCATCTACTAATTAAGGAGATTTTAGGAGTCGTTCTTGGATTGCTAGGAGTATTCAGCAAACCATCCCCAGCCTACAAGTCTGATCCCCTTCCCCAAACTTCAGTGCCCCTTCCAGCTGGAAAGCTAGGTTGGTGGCTTCTGATCCTCACTGTGTTCTTCTTTCTAGTAAGTGTGGACATTCCTGCAGTAGAGAGAGCATCATGGTGGCTTTCAAAGGAGTCTGGACTCAGGCTTTCTGGAAGGCAGTCTCAGCAGAATTTCTGGCCATGCTTATCTTTGTTTTGCTCAGTGTGGGATCCACAATAAACTGGGGTGGCTCAGAAAACCCCTTACCTGTGGACATGGTCCTCATCTCCCTTTGCTTTGGACTCAGCATTGCTACCATGGTGCAGTGCTTTGGCCACATCAGTGGTGGCCACATCAATCCTGCTGTGACAGTGGCCATGGTGTGCACACGAAAGATCAGCATCGCAAAGTCTGTCTTCTACATCGCTGCACAGTGCCTGGGGGCCATCATCGGAGCCGGTATTCTCTACTTGGTCACACCTCCCAGCGTGGTGGGAGGACTGGGAGTCACCACGGTGAGAACGCTTCAGTTCTTATTTCTGTGCTAGAATTCCATGTGGTTGCAAATCCTGCCGAAAGGCTCCTCAGTGGCCTGAGAGGCATTCATAATACAACTAGGTTATGGATCTAGAAACAGAGCTCAGTCCCACTTGCCTGAATGCATGAGGTCCTGGTTATATTGCCACCCTCACACATATGAGATTTGGTGGCACATATCTACACTACTAGAACTTGCAAAGTGAAGGCAGGAGAACCAGAAGTTCAAGGTCATCCTCAAATGTATATCAAATTCAAAGCTAGTTTGTACTACACAGTAACGTGTCTAAAAGAAAAAAATATTCACATAAGAGCCAGGCATGAGGGTGGCCTATAATCTTAGAGCTTGAGAGGTTTAGGCAGGAGAATCAGGAGGCAAGGCCAGCCAGGAGTACAGAGTCAAACCCTGTCTAGACAGCAAAAACATAAAAAGAGAACATTATTATTTATTCTTGAGTGACTTGAACAGGATTAAAAGTACTCAAAATGTTTTGTTTTGTTTTGTTTTGCTTTGCTTTGCTTTCTCTCCCATCCCAGTAAACATTAAGTTTGGTTTTTTGTTTTTGTTTTTGTTTTTGTGTTGTTTTGGTTTTTTGGTTTGTTTGTGTTTTTTTTTTTTTTTTTTTTTTTGAGGCAGGATCTCACAATTATTACCTAGCTCATGCTGGCCTTGAACTTGTAGCAGTTCTCTTGCCTTAGCCTCCTATGTGCTAGGATTATAAGCATAAATCATCAAGGATGGCATGACTGTATTTTTATCTTGTATTTATATTGTAAGGGCTTACAATTTTGTATTTGATAGCAGGGGCAAGGATTCGTTGTTCTTCATATGTAGGGAACTTTAAAAGATCTACATAAAGGGTCATGCCTCTAATCCTACACCCAGGAAACAGAAGCAGTTTGAAGCCACCCTGCTCTACAATACAAGTTCCAGAACAGCCAGGGCTACACAAAAAAAAACCCAACAAAAGAGTAAATCCACATTCATCTGCTCTTCACTTCACTCTGCCAATTGGCAGTGTTAGCGCAGCACCACGGCTGGCATTAAACTCTTGGCTTATGTTTTAGTTGAGATACCTATGAACTAACCTAAACCTAATCTATGGGTCTAATAATTGCCTTCGAACATTGTAAATCTCTTAAGAACATCTTTTACAAGTTAAACGCCACACTAACATATTTTGCTTTTGTTGCTAAAAACAACATTCATTGAAAACTCAGTCACTGTAACAGTAATTATCTGTAATGGCCCAAAATGAGGTAAATTGATTCCTTCTTTTTAGGAGGTGGAAGGAATGGAAATCTCAATACAGGGTTCGTAGAAGACTCAAATTAACCAAGGCTTTCTCTGCAGATGAAATACACCCTTCATACTGATGCATTTCTATAGCCCAAGACTCTTGCTTCAATTCTGATGGGGTATCTTTCTCTCTCTCTCTAGGTTCATGGAAACCTCACCGCTGGCCATGGGCTCCTGGTGGAGTTAATAATCACTTTCCAGTTGGTGTTCACTATTTTTGCCAGCTGTGATTCCAAAAGGACTGATGTTACTGGTTCAATAGCTTTAGCAATTGGATTTTCCGTTGCAATTGGACATTTGTTTGCAGTAAGTGTTAAGTCTATTTGAATAATTGATTGTTCTCATTTATCCTCACCCTGAAGCTGGCCTGAAGATGCTGGTTTACAGCTCACACTTTCTTTGATTCCAGTAACCTGGCCAGTGCCAACTACTACAACATTTAGATTGTTTCAGCACTGTTGCTTACTTCAGTGTTAACTTTTTGACAAGTAGATACATGCTAAAAAAAAAATAGTCTAGCTGGATATACCCATGTATCCATGCAGAATTTGCCATAAAACACACAGCTCACTCAGCCATATCTATTGACACTGAGTTGTCATTTTGCCAACTACAAGGTGGCTAAATCTCAATGTTCCTCTGAGGAGACTACAGGAAGTTATAGCAAATGATACCTGTTTAAGAGTCCTGTTACCAAAATGTCTGAAGTTTTTTTTTTTTTTCCAATTGCAGATCAATTATACCGGAGCCAGCATGAACCCAGCTCGATCCTTTGGACCTGCAGTTATCATGGGAAACTGGGAAAACCACTGGGTAACTACCAAGTTGATAGGCCCCGCCTTCCTGAGGTTGGGAACAACTATCCAAATGCCTCTTTTTATTAGCATAATTTAGCTCACTAGCTTCTGTTGCTTTTTCCCCAAATTTAACTCTCGACTTGTTATTGCATTTGTCACAGAGAGTAAAGATAGTCCGGCAAAGGCCTGCTGCAAAAGATCTCAGAGTGCTCTGTTCTAGGTCTTCACCAACAGTTTCCAAACATCAGATATATGTCTGACAGAGTACAGCAGAATACTTATAGGTTTCCTATGTAGAATAAATTTAAATCATAAATGTATGCTGTATTACTATTTAAATCATTGAAAGAAAGCCTTCTTAGCAACAACAGAAAATAAAGTTATTCTTAAAAGGAGAAAAGAAATATGTAAAAGGATCACTTATAAAAAGGGGTATTTACCATCTTAGTTTACATAATATGCAATTATTACAGTTGGTACTGGAGCTGGAAGCATGTGAACTATGGTTGGTACCAAATAAATGATGTCAATGTTTATGTGATTGTCATCACAGCTGTAGCTAGAAAAATAGATGACTCCCAAGAAGGTGTACTTTCTAATCTCAGGACTAACCTTCTCGCTAATCTGGGCCCAGAGTAGTGAGAGACAAATGATTCTGTTTCAATTGTTTCTGTCAACAAAAGAATTTCTATCCTTTGATTCATAGACAATTATGAAAGTCAGCATATATTAACTTAAATAACCTACAAAATACAAGAAAAATATATATGGCAGATTGCAAATAGAGCTAACTTTTATTGCCATTCATATATTGTGAATGTGATTTTACATTTTTTAAAGTTATGACCATACTAATTTGTCATTTGTGCTTTGGTCTTATGCATGTGGCTGCATAAGGCATGACCTGGGAAAGGAGGAAAATATTACACTGTGGCAGCATGAATTCCCTGATTGGTTAAGTATACTGATTGGTTAAGATGTAATTTAGACACAGACATGCAAAGTCTTGATCCACAATGTCATTCATTGGACTAGTCATTTTAGTACTGATATTTCTGGAAAGACTTACACATTAACAAAAAGGGAATTTACATTCTTCATGGTGTGTGTGTGTGTGTGTGTGTGTGTGTGTGCAGGCAAGCACACATGTGTCATGGCATGAGGAGGTCAGAGGACAGCCTTGGGTGATCTGGGGAAAGTTGTCACTTTCCACTTTGTTTGCAACAGGCTGTTTTGTTCACTGATCACCAGGCTGGCTGGCCCATGAGCCCCTGGGAATTCCCCTATCTCTGCCTGCTGGTTTCCATCATCCTCCTATAGGAAGCACAGGAATTACAGACATGCATTATGGTGTCTGGCTTTTATGTTTGTTTCAGGGACTCAAATTTAGATCCTCACACTTGCATGGAGATGCTTTACACACAGAACCATTTCTCCAGCCACCAAATAGAAAAGTGTAATGAGAAGTTTATAGATCTTACAATAAATGGACAGGGTTAAGTCAGGCAGTGCGAGGTTTAGGAGTTTTTTTTTTAACACTTTCATGAAGTTTATGTATTTTTTTATTTTCAGCAATAAATTTCTTTATAAACATTTAACGATACTTTAAAGTACACAGAGCTCAGTTTGGGAATAGCAATTTGGCATCAAGATTTATTTTTGCGAATATGGAGCTGCCGTCTCCTCCAGAGTGTTGTGGAAAGGGTGGGGATTGCTGCACAGTGGCTGTTTTCCCTCATGGGACTTGAAGACCATGAAGTGCACCAATCTAATGAGATCGTACCAAAAGAACAAACAGCAAAGGCATTTAGAGGAGGGCTCTCGTTTCTCCTTTGAAAGGGCACAGAGAAGATAAAGTCTCCTTTGGGCTCTTTCATGTTTAAGATAAGGTGCTTGGTTGGTCCAGTGACTCTCCTGGCTATTTCCCTACTAAGCATATGTGCTCGGCTTCAGCAGGAAGCTCTGCTTTCCTTTAGGTTTTACAGTGAAGATGCTAAGTGCAGGTAATTTCCGGATGGGGTTTTAAGGATGACATAGTCATTTTAGGTTTTGAGTGTTTTGTTTTGTCTTGTTTTGCTTTTTCAAATGAGAAAGCAAACAGTACAGTAATAAAAGGGAGCAAAGCTGACATTTCAACTAAATCACTTGGCAAGTATGCTATCTAAAGTAAGCTTGTAACCTCTCAAAGGGTCAACTGTCCAAGGCAAAAGAATGTATATTTTAATAATATCTATATCAAAGGTTATTGATGAGAGAAGAAATGTGCTCAGTACAGTCAGTTAGAGTGCTCAGTAAACAGGGGGTTTGGTCCCAAGTGCACCTATTGGATGAGTGCCTAACATTCTATAACATGCGTTTGCTCTCAAGTACATGAGCACCTATAGGGTGCATGTGCTATAAAGTATATGTTGCAGCCTAATCAGACTGAAATCTTACTTCACTCTCAGTGCATCTCTGATGCAATAAAACCATGTCATTTACTGAACCCCTGAAGAATTCTTCACTAACTCTTTTCCAGTCGCCATCCCTGAAGTCAGTACAGATTTTCACTAAAGCAGTATATAGAGGGAGAGAGATAAGAGAAAGAAATAACCCATAGCATTTCATGCAATGAAATCACATTTTAAAGAGAGAAAGCACATGATATAAGGAAACTAACAGCCAAGTTAGTCACATACAGCTTTAAATTACCAGGATGCATGAACTGAACTGGTTTCAAGGAGCCACAAACTACCAAGTCCTTCAAGGCTAAGTTATGTATAATTATAGTGGTATAATTTAGTAGATCAAGTGCCTGCCCAGCATGCAGGAAACCCTGGGTACTCTCTGCAACACCATCTACTTTGGGCATGGTAGCACATATCTATAATCCCAGCACTGTGGAAGAAGAGACTGGGGGATGAGCAGCTCAAGTCCGTCAGCTACAAGGTGAATTCAAAGCAACCTGGGATACAAGAGACCTTGTCTCAAAATGGAAAGAGTCCCTGATGTAGGCACTCACAGACCGGCTAAGTGGCAGGGCTGTGACTATATTCATCATGCGTAGTGAATAACTAACACTCTAAATGATAAAATTGCACCATGATCCTGGTTATACAGAAAATCAAAGGTACGGGGCTAATGTGAAATACAGAAGAGAAACATGCACCTAAACCTCATTTTTTCCTTCCATTTTTAAAGAATTCCTAGTGTCTGTTTAGCTTATGGAACTGCCAGAGAATAGCTATTCTATAGTAAAACTTATCATAAAATTAATAAGCCAGATGTGACAGTACCTACTAATATCAACTCAAAATCCTGGGACTGGGAGTGGGGAGAAATATGAGTTCAAGGCTAGCCTAGGCTATGCAACGGGTACATATATACATACACCTGAGCTAGATTCTGTCTCAAATAATATTTTTTAAAAATCAAAACATTAAAACATATAATATTAAAAGACAAAAATAGAACAATTTTATTCTTTCTTATTTTATGTTCAAATGTTGTTTACTAATGTGCAAATCTTTGGTGAATCTTGGCATACTTTCTCATTTACTTTAAAATTCGTATGTGCTTGTGTGTATATGCTTGTGTGTATATGCATGTGTCACAGTTGCTGCCTTAATTTAACTCAGTTAAATTCTATATGCATGGGTTGTTTTTCCACTGAGACTACTTTTCTCTCCTTATCTCCTCTCCTCGTCCATCTTTCCCCCAGATATACTGGGTTGGACCAATAACAGGAGCAGTGCTGGCAGGTGCCCTTTACGAGTATGTTTTCTGTCCTGATGTGGAGCTCAAACGTCGCCTTAAGGAAGCCTTCAGCAAAGCTGCACAGCAGACAAAAGGGAGCTACATGGAAGTAGAGGACAACAGGAGCCAAGTGGAAACAGAAGACTTGATCCTGAAGCCCGGGGTGGTGCATGTGATTGACATTGACCGTGGAGAGGAGAAGAAGGGGAAAGACTCTTCTGGAGAGGTATTGTCTTCCGTATGACTAGAGAACAGCACTGAAAGCAGAAGAGACTCCCTAGAATTGGGCTCAGATTTTCTGCCACCCATTAAGGAAACAGATTTGTTATAAATTAGACACATGCTGGTTTCTTGTTTCACATCTTGTTACACGGTTTAAATAACATATATTTTACTATTATCAATGGGGGGAAAAGACGCCTATAATGGATATGAAATTTTAAAACAGAAATATTTTTAATGTATCCCCAAAGCAAACATGCAATTAGTGTATTGACTTCCTTTTCATTAATAATAACTGAAAAGATGAACCAAGATCTGGTCAAGTCTTTCCCTACAGAACACATGGACACCTCTGTGAGGAAGCTGATATTGCCCATCGTCACATGACTACTGACTTCATTGCATTGATTTAAAAATGGCAAAATGTGTACATCACAAAATCATGTGCATTCAGGAGAAGACATGTACTAAGTTCTTCCACAAGCTACCCCTTATTTATAAACTACCTCGGAGGGGAAAAAATTAGCGGGGTCATTGCTAATACGTCATTTGTATTTATATATCTGACTGTCAAATCCCAACGCCAATTTACTACACTTCTTCCCCCTCAGAATCCAAGAAACCATAGGGGTCAAACTCAAAAAAAAATTGAAAGAATATTAACTTCTGTCCATGTGTTAGTTTCATCTAATGAAACTTGTACATGGGACAGCTACTGAGGTTCAGGACAGCCAGACCTGGGGAGTCTGGTGGGAGGTGGACCAAAGTTTGCTACTGTCTTACATCCATCACAGGGAGAGGGGAAACCTCTGCTATCAAATGATTGGTCTGTTTTCAGTGCACACTCTTAAACATACCACACAATATTAACCGCCTAAGCTTTTAACTACTTCACTTACTTTTGAAAACTTATTTGCAAAACTGGGGAATTTGTCTGCCATTTTGGTCCCTATATTGAAATACTAGCTGAGACATTTTAGACCAGAATTTGACTAGTTGAGTCCTGCCTTTCAGTTGGTGTCTAAATCCTGCTTACTCTAGGTGGTATAAACCAGTGCTGCCCCATGTCAACTGCTGATGCTGTCTCGCTTCCCATGACATCTGTCGATGATCAGCATTGTGAGTGTACCCATTTGTATGAATTAAAATATATGGCAGACAAGGTACAACATGGTTGCCAAATAAAGGGGTAAGCAGACAGCCTCTGTGCAAAACCCATAGGTGCCCCATCTGCACATAGTTTACTGTGCTTTTAAGGTATTTACTTCCTGCCTGGTTTACTTGTTAAAGCCGTTTGTTTTTCCCATACTGCTTTGCCTTCTGCCTGTCAAATGCTCTGTGGAAACTCCAGTTTTTACAATCATAATAGTCTAACCTAGCATTTATCTTAGACAAAGTGCTGCAAATGTCAATTTCACTAAACAAAAGTTAGTAGTGGGAGAGAAAAGAGCCATCTCTTCGAGGACTAGCTTGTAAATAGCTGATAATCGAGGGCTTTCTTCTCCCAAGCACAATCCGACTGTGTGACTTCTTATTGTTAATGGCAGTTTTTCGTCTGTGGGGGCTAGATAATGGACCACGATTAAACCTGATTCTCTTCGATGCTCGGAAACTGATGTGCAAGTTCCCAGAGCCACGAGGACAGCATTTGCCTCTCAGTGCCACTGGCACATTCTGAGGTAGATGCTGGAAGCACAGGCCCCATTTCATGGCTTTGAATATACTACACCAGAAACATAAGCTTCCTCTCGTGCTTCAGTGCAGAAGGTGATAACCTCAACAGACATGTCCGGTCGAAAATAAACTTAGTTAACAAGGAAGAATTAAGCACATTTATGATTACTCTTTTAAAATCCTGGCCTGTGATTATTTTTATTACACCACACAGCTTGCTTAGTTTGTGCTCACTTCAACAGTCATTTCCAGTAACAGCTTTCAATATGGTAGGAACTGAAAACAGTGAATCATGGCTTGGCTTGGTGATTTGTTTTCTAGCAGCTGGCAAAGTGCCAGGCAAACAGTAGGTAATCAGAACAAGCATGTTCTTTGATTATATACATATGTGTGTGTGTGTGTGTGTATAACTTACATTTGAAATTTAAGAATACCAATAATCTCTTCTAATTTTTATTCTGCTCAATATTTAGTGAAAGCATAATTTTTAGTGTCATTGAAGCAAAGCAACATGGACATGAAAATAAAAAGCATATTTTTACATTCTGCTGTTTAAGGGCAGAGACTGACAGCTTTGTCACTCTTCGTCTTTGCATAAGAGACAATATGCCTTGCATTTCACTCACGGCTCTGCTAGTAAAGAAAGTAATGAAATTGTCCCTTTCTAATGACATCTATGCAGCAGGGGTCTATTGCCTTGTGGATGACACCAAATTATCCAATGTATTAGGAGATCAGGGCTTTTCCCTTTAATCCCTTCCTATTAATGAAGTGCATAGTGCCATTCCCAAGAGACAGCTACTGACAGATTCACAGCAGAGAGATCAGAGAGGAAAAATCAGGAAGACATAAAAGATTTATATGAGCCATGGAACAACACCAACTGTCTGTTCCCTCAGGAGAAGAACAGACACCCTCAAGTTTCAAGGTGGTCCATACACTGGAAATGTACATTGTCTGTCAAAACAGAGCAGAAAGGAATCTTTTTTTTTAAGATTTTGAGGATTTTTTCCAATCTAGGACTATGACTTCTAAATGCGTATTTTCATTTTCTTCCAAATGTTCTACCCATTTACAAGAAAATATTTTCTGTAGCCTAAGTCACTGGTAATTTTACAACGTGTCTCTGTGATTTGATGCTATCATAAGTTCTCTCCCTTTCAGTCATCAGAGGGGTGTCCTACCACATCTCACAGACACTGCTGGCCAGAGTTGCTCCCTGCTGATTTCATAAGGAGTTAGAAATCTCTGGGAAATGTGCATGATAGAAATAAACTGGCTTGTTAGAGGCCAATTTCAAAAAGTGCAACCCTTCTCTGAGGAGGACCCAGGCAATGTTGTGTGCACTGTGCTAACCCCACGGATGGCAGTCAATTCTCAAAATCAAGGGACTAACTAAAATGGTGGCATTGGTCCTTGCCTGGCCCTTTGCTGTGTGATGTAGTTCTTGATTTTTTACTTAAAACAGTCAAAAAAAAAAAAACCCTCCTCACACATCAGAAATCTAACAGAGACACTGCCTCCGTGACAGTTGAAGATGGAGAGCCAAATAGACAATCTTATAAAATCCGTGAAAGTTCTTATCATTAAACTACATGATACGTGAATTTGGAATCTCTTGGAACTGAAAATAATTACATCTTTCCCCAGTAAACTCACAAAGTAAAAATTACTAGGAAAGCATGGTTACTATTTGAAAGTATACTGTTAAAAACTCACTTCTTTACATCAGCTATTCTGGATTCATGTCTAGGTGTCAATGCTTTTCAGAACACCTTAAATAACACAAACATTTGAAGCCCATAATTCTCAGAAAGAAATGTTAGACACTTACCTTCAAAAATCAGAAACTATGGATACTCACTTTTGACACATAATTTCCCTGAAAACACACAGCAAACAAATGTTAAACAACACATACCATGAACACTAAATTTAAGAGAAGTTATATTGTTACTGTTTTAAGTCAAAAGTGAAGAGCTATAAAAGTACTCCTAACATATATATTCCATTGCAAAGTATTTCTAGATTGTCTTCAGGTTTGATCAAACAAACATGCAATTTATGGAAATATATAAACAATTATTTATCATTTTATCACCCAAATCACAATAAATTTGCAATTTATGAGGAACTAAGAAAAATAAAATGAATGCCTGGCTATATTCACAACTATTTATTAACTTATATTATTACAACATTGGAGTTAATGTTAAATGGATTTAAACTGTAATGACTAACATTTGGAAAAATCTATTAAAAGTATTCTATTTCTTATGTTGTATAACATGCTACTAGGATCATACAAATAAATCTCCAAATGTTTTTAAAAGTAAACCATGTATTTGATGGTGTTTAAGAATTCATTTGTAGTTTTTGCACTTCCACTAGAATGAATGGGAGGTTTTGGTATTTGAATGCAATCTACATCAAATGCTGGTGGATCCCATAAAGTCATTGGTACTTTGTGAAAACCTGGAGAGTATATACTGGGGTAGGGCCTGAACCATGCAGTGAAGACTAGGTTTGGGCACACATCATTCATGATGTCCATATCTACAAAGGAGACTATAGGATGTCAGCTACCATCACAGTGAGGCTAAATGTGAAGACTCCAACAACTAACTGGCAGTGCTAAATAAATGGTCTATCCTCAGGGTTTTAGGATATCCTGTCCACCCAGATGGATGACTTCTGGGTACTTAGGCTCAGTGAGTACTAATTTGCACCTCCTGGGTTCTTAGTTTAAGGTCTCCCCAAGATTTAGTGGCTATAGACCTTCAGTGCAAGACTGGGAATAGTCATTTATGGCGTGTGCAACCAATATGATGGGTGAATAATCTCCGGGAGCTAAATCAATGTGTATCCCTCACAGGCTTTGTCATATTGAGGTGAAGCAAGGTGCCTGTCACCCCCTCTAGATTCTCAGCTCCTTAAGGGCTGTGAATATGTCTTATTTATCCTGTGTACTTCTCTTTCCCAGTGATCTCCTCCCTATACTCTAAGGGACTTGACACTCCACTGTGTAAGTATGCATTACAAGGACAGAGCGATTAAAGAGTAACTTAGAATCACAAGGAAATGCTATAAAGCCCTATTCTTCAACCTGGCTGCTTTGTGTGTGCTGCTGAGTTGTGTGTGCTAAATTCTTGAATTCTTATAATTCTAGGTAGGAGCTCAAAATTAGTTCAAACAGAAAAGATAAAGGAAAATGCACACAAAGAACGAAACACTAATTGGATTTCTAAAATTTATACCTAATTCGGAAGAAACAAGACATGTTTTCATTGCTGTGTTTATACAATAGCCAGATGTTAGATGAAATTTAGTTCAGTTGAATACTTCAGC